TCGGATGAAAAAAATACTCGCGAAACGTTCAGGTCTGGTTTCTGAGGCGAGAGCGTGGGGCTCAACTCAAAAGACAGAACGAGACCAGGAGTTGTACCCTTCCTCCCTTTTCTTTCGGCGCACAAAAGCGGCACAACTCAGGACAAAAGATCCAATTACGAGCCAGTAAAAGCAAAGATACACACACACAAGGCACAGCCAAACATGCCCACGCGGACCAAGACTGTGCTAATATACGCGGACAAAGAGACGCACAGGCACTCCAACTGAAAGGAAAAGTGGGCGAAAAGCTCACTCCAGCACATATTTACTTCTCTCTGCCATTGACATTATTGAAGGTCAAAACTAAGGCTTTAAATCAACATGGCCACAGTTCAGGCGGTATATAACCAAGTGCAAGTTTATAAGATGACCATTTACTCTCTGCAACCTGTTGAACTCCGATCCTTGCGGCTGACGGTTATGTTGTCAAAAAAACCTCGGTAAACGGCGCTTGTGTGTCGCTTTATTCACCGGGTTGAAAAGAAGAAATTGTCAAACTATTTTCTCTCACGACGGTGCGAGCGATCACAGTCGAATGTTCTCTCGCTGAATCACCGCTGATGAGGGGCTGCTGAGACTGTCTCCGGCACAAGTGGCAACGCACACAAGTTAGACAAACAGTGGAATTGACAGAAATTATATAGGCCACAGTTCTTTGACAGCTTCATCTGGTTAAAATGAGCTTATAATAGTAATAAAAATAATAATGTGTTGGTTGTTATTATACTGCTTTTTTGGACACATGTAAGTAGTACAGAGTAAGTAATGTCTATTTAAGTAGCACATTTTGCAGACCAAGGTCACCCAAAGCGCTATACATTTTTTTTTATTAATTTACTCCATACAGAAGCGAGGGAACCAGTATGTGCAATCAGCCTCTACAGTTGACCCTTGACCACTACCAACCGTTCACACACGCTCCAGACTCGTTCTAAGCAAGGTGGGTGAAGTGTCTTGCCTGAAGATACAACAACAATTTGGCACTTTACAGCCGCAGCTGCCCAACTGCTGGTGTTTCCAGAGGTCTCCATCACACTACTAACCAGGCCCTGCACTGCTTAACATCAGAGGTATGACGGGGTCTGGCTTTCACATGCAGTTTCATTAATATGGTAAGACTAATAATGCACAGAAACTGATTTTTAACTGGATTCTAAAGTTTGAACACTTCCCCTTTAAACTTAGCCCTCTATGGCATACTGTTGCCCTCGGGCAACAAACCAATCTTTTGGCTCTTACACTGGCCCTTTAATGTTTTTTTTTTTTTTTTTTATTTATAAAATTACTAGACATGTTTCTGTCCAATTAAATCAAGTTCTGAAGTGGGTGGGGGCAATTGTCTGGGGGTGGAGCAGTCCTTTCAGGAAGCAGAGTCACAAGTGACACAGTGCCAGAAAAAGGTAGGATAAATATAACTTTTCTACATATTTAAATTCGAAAAACTTGATAAAATAAATATGTGACTGTGCATGAATATGTTAAGAAGCATATTTGATTGTTAATATATGTTTTTTGTTTCCATTTATATACAAAAACTGCACGTTTAGGTTTGTTGCCTCAAGGCAACATCATGCAGTTGTAGCACTTTTGTTTGGGCAGTGTAATGCTGCTGGTTGGGGATGTGCTTGAATGGATAATCAACACCACACTCAATGTTTTTTGCTGTTCTATCTTCCATTCTGATCTATCTACTATTGCTTGTAGGAAATGGATGCAATAACGTTTTACGGGTCCAAGAATGAAGGAGTTAGGGACATTCCAATCGATAGTCCTGGTCTCAGGTCTCTGTCCTGAAGTCCTCTCACATTAGTCCAGGTCTCAGGTCTCTGTCCTGAAGTCCTCTCACATTAGTCCTGGTCTCAGGTCTCTGTCCTGAAGTCCTCTCACATTAGTCCAGGTCTCAGGTCTCTGTCCTGAAGTCCTCTCACATTAGTCCTGGTCTCAGGTCTCTGTCCTGAAGTCCTCTCACATTAGTCCTGGTCTCAGGTCTCTGTCCTGAAGTCCTCTCACATTAGTCCAGGTCTCAGGTCTCTGTCCTGAAGTCCTCTCACATTAGTCCTGGTCTCAGGTCTCTGTCCTGAAGTCCTCTCACATTAGTCCTGGTCTCAGGTCTCTGTCCTGAAGTCCTCTCACATTAGTCCTGGTCTCAGGTCTCTGTCCTGAAGTCCTCTCACATTAGTCCTAGTCTCAGGTCTCTGTCCTGAAGTCCTCTCACATTAGTCCTGGTCTCAGGTCTCTGTCCTGAAGTCCTCTCACATTAGTCCTGGTCTGTCTCTGTCCTGAAGTCCTCCCACATTAGTCCTGGTCTCAGGTCTCTGTCCTGAAGTCCTCCGTCGAGCAAAGACGTGTCTTAGTCCGCTCCTGCTTCTGAACGGCTTGCTATCTCCTGTTTTTGTCTTTTTTCCTGGAGTCCGCCCCCTCTGACAGCTACATTGGGCCGGCCGCCGGAGGTGCTCATCCCGAGAAAAAAATCCGTGGTTTATAAAAAGCACAATGTGTCTATCCAATTGTATGTGAACTGTATGTTATTGCTCTCTGCTGTTTCTTGCTGCACACAGCGCCGCAAATGGCGAAGTGGCACGCTCTCTGCCAAGACAATTTCCAAGTGATAACTTTGTTACTCACGTGGCAATAAAAATGATTCTGATTCTGATTCTGACATTAGTCCAGGTCTCAGGTCTCTGTCCTGAAGTCCTCTCACATTAGTCCTGGTCTCAGGTCTCTGTCCTGAAGTCCTCTCACATTAGTCCAGGTCTCAGGTCTCTGTCCTGAAGTCCTCTCACATTAGGCCTGGTCTCAGGTCTCTGTCCTGAAGTCCTCCCACATTAGTCCTGGTCTCAGGTCTCTGTCCTGAAGTCCTCTCACATTAGTCCTGGTCTCAGGTCTCTGTCCTGAAGTCCTCTCACATTAGTCCTGGTCTCGGGTCTCTGTCCTGAAGTCCTCTCACATTAGTCCTGGTCTCAGGTCTCTGTCCTGAAGTCCTCTCACATTAGTCCTGGTCTCAGGTCTCTGTCCTGAAGTCCTCTCACATTAGTCCTGGTCTCAGGTCTCTGTCCTGAAGTCCTCTCACATTAGTCCTGGTCTCAGGTCTCTGTCTTGGCTGTGAAACATCTATGTCCATACACAATAGGCTACCGAGACCCGCAGCTGTGTGACTTACTAGAGGCTCAGAACTGTTTTTGCTTTTGTTTTTGCAATCTGGAGTGCTCTGTACCCGTTTAAAAAAGTTGAGCTTGAAAAATAAAAGAATAAAAGCTTCTCTAATGTATTTGTTTTATTATTTTCCTAATTCAATGTAATATTGAAAACCTTGGTGTTTTAGTACCCTCGTCGCACAATGTTGCCCTTAAGCAACAAACCATTATCTGATTGGGGGGGTGGGGGGGGTCAAATGTAAAGATCAATATGTTATTAGGGACCCACGAGCTCTTAAAAAGTGTGTTGAAATATTTTTTTCCCCCTAAAATAAAAAGTCATGCCATAGAGGGTTAAAGTCTTAAAATCCTAGTGCGAGCTGATTGGCTGAGTGAGGGCTGGTACTTTACTTTTTCACTTAAAAACCAGATTTAAAGATGTGACAGGGGCCAGCAATACATGCATGTGAGAACTAGTGAAAGAACCAAACTGTTTAGAGAGCTAGGATCTATATTCATAAATTACGTACTCCAATTTTAAGAAATAGAACTATCTAAATAAATCATTTCGTTTCCCCCTAATCCACAGTCTGTCTGACATGAAAACTAGAATTGAGACTTACGTGAAGGTGCGTAACTAAGATAAGACTGGACTGGACTGAGTTTTTGGCAACCACACGTTTTGATATCCATTGAGATGTCATTTTCAAGATTAATTAAAGACCTTCCCTGCATCATTTTTCATGTAACCCTGCATTGCATTTTTGGCATCTTAGTATTTAGCTCATTCACATTCTTTTACTTTTACTTTACTCTACAGGGATAGTAGTCTAAAATTACTATCCTTGTAGTCGTATGAATGTAGTATTTTAGCAGTACTTATATTGATTTGTCTGTATTTTCCCAATGGAACAAGTATGACATTAAAAGCTGAGGTATCTATATTTTTAGTTTATATTTTAAATGACACATGTAGTTTGTCCCAATGGAAAAAGTCCTGTCAAACGAAAATGCTGTGAACAAATCAGAACCACAACATTTTTTGTGATGGGTAATCCACTCTTTTTCACTTTTGTAGAACCAACTGTTTTGAGATTGAGGAACTAGTTGGATAAAAGTTATTACATCTGTTAGGAAAGTTAGGTATCCCAGCTTTAAGTAGGACACAGCAAGTGCTTGTTCCATTGAGAGGTCTTTTACTGGGCAAGGAAAGACTGAGTGTGGACAGTTTACAAGCAAAACCCTTGCAAACTCAATTGTAACCAAACACACATGTTGTAAATGCACATTACATGACTGCGTGATGCACCAGACTCTTAACCGTTATTTATTTTCCATTTTAAACTGTTTTATAACTTGTTACATTCCTCTGTGGAATAGAAGATGCCTTTATGTCTTAAATGTAGTCAGTTACATATGCGCACTGATGGGACTTGATACGCATGGACTCCCTGAACCTGAGGACTAGTCCCCGGCCTAAAACCCTGGACCTTAGGACTAGTCCCCAGCCTGAAACCGTGGACTCCCTGGACCTAAGGACTAGTCCCCTGTCTGAATCCCTGGACCTGAGGACTAGTCCCCAGCCTGCTGTTGGGAGTTGACTGTTCTGGGATGCCCCTTGAGACGACTGTTGTTGTAACTTATGCCTATACAAATAAAATTAATTAAGATTTTGCGTTCAAGTATTTGCTTATCTGAAACATCGCAGTTAGATAATATGCCTTGTTCGTTCAGCTCGTCCTGGGGGGGCCACTGAAATCGTCCAATAAGCAGCCGGACTCAGATCTCCTGTCTTAAGAGTGTGGTTGCTATGGTTACATGTGGTCACTTACACGAGAGGGAGTGTCCTCCTTTGGGCAGGTACTCGTACAGCAGTGGACTGTCCTCTCCCAGCATCTCCGCACGCAGCGACAGCAGACTGTTCTTACTCATCAGCGCCGCCTTCAGATTGGCCACGGATGAGATGGTCCCGCCCCTTGCTCCTGCTCCGCCCTCTTCTGATTCGCTGACGCCGAGGAAGCTGGATTCTGTGGTCAGAGGCTCCTGCTTGAGGAAGAAGTCGAGCCGCTCTCCCCGACTGTCTGAGCTGTTTGGTTCTGTCACGTCTGCCCCTAGAAAAAGAACAGACCGTGGTGTTCAGCAAAATATGGGGTCATTGTGAAAGGGACATAACCATAGACTGTAAATAATGACTACATACTATACTTAAACATAATATATCGTCAAAGTTTTAGAATTATGTATTTGTATTTTCTGTGGATGGATGTGTTTCTGCTGATAAATAACATATCTATCTACAGTAAATATATTAAATAACATACATAATACTTTTTTAAATCAAAAGCTTTGGCCATGTTTTAATTGTCATTTCCACACTGTTTTTTTTATTATTTTTTTTACAGAGACTCTGTTTTGAGTATTATTCACTGTTTAGTATTTGTAGTATTTCATTTATTGTTTTGTAAAGCACTTTTTTGCCTTGTGTAAGTACAAAAATGACAGAGAGTTACTCTGATTATTTTTAAGAGACATTTGTTTTGAGAGACATTTTTCAATTGTGAGAACCAGTGAGACCCGTCCCCACAGTTTCCTGATTGGACACAATTAACTTAAATCTCCGTTAGAAAGATGAGGCCCCTCACCAACTATTCTCCTACAGCAAATATAACAGGTGGTGGTAATGCCAAGGGGTGAGACACATTCATTATATGTATCATTTATGAAAGATATTTATATTAAATGAAACCACAGGGTCATTTGTTCAAAAAGTATTTCCATACAAATGAAATAGGGCTGAAGTGACAGATATCACCTTTAAAACATGTACCGTTGTTCATACAATTTTAGAGCCACTTTTGCCAAAACACCAAAATACTAAAGTGGGACCGGATTGTTCAATTTTGAATACATTTTTGAGAAACAAAATGTTTATGAGCTTTCTCCAGTGATGTGTCCAGAGAGTCAAAAGAGTTGAAGAAAGTCCTTTACAACAACAAAGATGGCGCCTCGTACGGTCGACATGGCTCTTTGCTGCTCTCTTTTTCTTTTGTTTTTACTTTTTAACTGCGCATCTGGCTGTTCCTACACCCGTGAGGAACTTATGAACATCCGACCCACCGTTCCCATGGACCTATTGCCTGTTTTCTTGGCATCTGCGGCTGATTTAGTTCATGTTCTAGCCAAAAAAGTGTGGGCCCGTAAAAGGGGAAAGCGCGGAGGCCTGCTCGTGCGTCTTAGGAGGAGAGGAGCGCGCACGGCTCTCCCCGGCATTTTTCTCTCCAACGTACGCTCACTGGGCAATAAGATGGACGAACTCAGCCTGCTCATGAGAAGAAACAAGGACTTCGCCACATCCTGTGTCCTCTACTTCACTGAGACCTGGCTAAATGAGCGGATCCCGGACTGCGCTCTGGAGCTGCAGGGCTTTGGGCTGTTCCGCGCGGATCGCCATTGTGCGCTCTCAGGGAAGAGCAGAGGCGGTGGGCTGTGTTTCTACGTCAATACAAACTGGTGTAACGATGTGACAGTGATCTCCAAGCACTGCTCTCCCTCTCTGGAATATCTTTTCATTCATTGTAAACCATATTACTCCCCGCGCGAAATTGTTTCATTCATTCTTGCCTCTGTTTACATACCGCCATGCGCGGACGCGCGCGAGGCTCAGCGCGCACTCGCAGAGCAAGTACTGTGTATGGAACGTTTATACCCGGACTCTCTGATTATTATCCTGGGGGATTTTAATAAGGGAAACTTGAGCCAGGAATTACCCAAATACAGACAGTTTATCAAATGCCCGACCAGAGAGGAGAACACTCTGGATCACTGTTACACCACCGTGCGCGGAGCTTTTCGCGCTGTTCCCAAGCCAGCCCTCGGCTTCTCAGATCACTCCATGATACATCTGGTTCCTGCTTACAGACAGAGACTAAAGCTCTCGAAACCTGCAATGAGGAGCTCCAAAGTGTGGTCTGATGAAGCTGTGGAAGAGCTGCGCGCATGCATGGAATCTACAGACTGGGACCTTTTCAGAGCTGCCACAGATAGTTTGGATGAATACACGGACACTGTGACGTCATACATTCACTTCTGTGAGGATAGCATCATTCCAGCAAGGACCAGGGTCATCTATAACAACGACAAACCCTGGTTCACTGCTAAACTCCGGCAGCTCAGGAAAGCAAAGGAGTCTGCTTTCAGGGAGGGGGACCGCAGCGGCTACAAAGCAGCTAAATATCAGTTCAGGAGAGAACTGAAAGCAGCCAAGTCCCGGCACAGAGAACGACTACAGGAGCAGTTTGGTAACAACGATACTGCTTCTGTCTGGAGGGGCCTACGGGAGATCACCAACTACAAACCCAAAGCCCCCCCCTGTGCTGACCACCACAAGCTAGCTGACGATCTGAACTTATTTTTCAGTCGCTTTGATGCTGCCCCTGACACCTCTCCCTCCCCCACCCCCCACTACTCTAACGACCCACCCATCAGCCCTGCCCCCAGCCTAACAATAGCCGCTAAAGAGATTAAACAACTCTTCCTGAGGCTGCACCCCCGCAAAGCTCCTGGCCCGGACCACGTGTCTCCGGCCACTCTGAGACACTGCACCAGTGAGCTTACTCCTGTGTTCACGGACATTTTCAACACCTCTCTGCAGTCCTGCCATGTCCCGGCCTGCTTCAAATCCTCCATCATTGTCGCCGTCCCGAAGAAGCCCAGGATCACAGGACTCAACGACTACAGACCTGTAGCACTTACGTCTGTCGTCATGAAGTCATTTGAACGCCTGGTTCTCTCCCATCTCAAGTCCTTCACCTCCCCCCTCCTGGACCCCCTGCAGTTCGCATACAGAGCCAACAGATCTGTAGACGACGCCATTAACCTGGCCCTCCACCACATCCTACAGCACCTGGACTCCCCGGGGACCTACGCCAGGGTCCTGTTCGTGGACTTCAGCTCTGCCTTCAACACAATCCCGCCATCCCTGCTCCAGGACAAGCTCTCCCAGCTCAACGTGCCCGATTCCACCTGCAGGTGGATCACTGACTTCCTGACGGACAGGAAGCAGCGAGTGCGTCTGGGGAAGAATGTCTCGGACTCTCGGATTATAAATACAGGAGCCCCACAGGGCTGTGTTCTTTCTCCCCTGCTCTTCTCCCTGTACACCAACCACTGCACCTCCAGCCACGACTCCGTGAAGCTGATCAAGTTCGCGGACGACACCACCCTCATTGGACTCATCTCCAACAACGATGAGTCCGCCTACAGGAGGGAGGTGGACCGGCTGGTGTCCTGGTGCAGTGGTAACAACCTGGAGCTGAACGCCCAGAAGACAGTGGAGATGATTGTGGACTTCAGGAAGAGCACTGTCCCCCCACCCCCACCCTCCGTGATGGACTCCCCCATCACCTCTGTGGAGTCCTTCCGTTTCCTGGGCACCACCATCACCCAGAACCTCAAGTGGGAGCCGACCATCAGCTCCCTCATCAAGAAGGCCCAGCAGAGGATGTACTTCCTGCGGCAGCTCAGGAAAGCCAAGCTGCCTGCACAGATGTTGGTGCAGTTCTACACGGCCATCATCGAGTCCATCCTCACCTCCTCCATCACCGTGTGGTTCGCTGGAGCCACAGTCAGGGACAAACAGAGACTACAGCGCATTGTGCGCTCTGCAGAGGAAGTGATCGGCCGCAGCCTTCCATCGCTGCAGGACCTGTACGTCGCCCGAGCTCGAGGCCGGGCTGGTCGTATCACAGCCGACCCCTCTCACCCTGCACATGGACTATTCCAACCACTCCCCTCAGGCAGGAGACTGCGGTCCATCAGGACTAGAACCTCCCGCCACAAGAACAGTTTCTTCCCCTCTGCTGTTGGACTCTTGAACACTTCTTAACCTGTCCCCCCGCCCTTTATAAAGTCACTTTTCACTAGTCACTTTACTTCACTGTACTGCTGTCACCTTACATTGTGTGCACCATGTGCACTTGTATATTGTAAATAGTAACTGTAACTCTATTTTAAATTTAAATGTATTCTTTAGAAGTGTTTTTTATTCTTATTTTTATTATCTCTTTTTGACTGTTGCACTGAGCCATAGCAATTTCCTAGTCTGTGACCTCCTGTTACTTACGTGGCAATAAAAATGATTCTGATTCTGATTCTGATTCTGATTACCAATAAATGTAATAGAATGGTTCTGTCTTCTAATGGTGATTAAACTCCATGCCATTACGATGCCATTGCTCCCTGCAAAAAGCACTATTTTTATTTTGTGATTTTCTGAATGGGTGATACACAAATTATTTGGAAGCATTTGTTCTGAAAAGAAAAAAAAAAACTGCTGGGTCTTTGTTGAAGTGACCACATTTCTACTTAAGTTGCAAAAAGTGCCAGAGATTTGGATCAACCTATTATTGTTCAAATGTTCTCTCAAACTGTCTGCTATTTTGTTTCGTTACCACTTTTTTCCTGTTTTCGATCGCATCAGTGAAGTTAAAGAGTCATTGACAAAAATACTAACCGTCACTTACAGAGTTACACCCGTTAAACGTGGTTATTAATTTCTTTTCACTGCCCACAAGTGCATAATTATAACGTTCTGTCATTATGATTCACACCAAGCAAGAGAAAAACCTTACGTTTATGGACACATAAGTCTGTCTAACCATAACTGGAGTTGTTCTTGCTAAGTGGTTCCAATTAGTCTGTAAGTAATATTTCAAACAAAGCAGCAGAAATGTTTGAAGAAAACTCCTACTTTCTTAAGATAATTGACTACAGTGTAAGGTTACAGATGGATAATACATTTCAATTATTCATAAAACCGTGAGATTTTGACCTTAGACTAATTTCCAGACTGCTGACAGGTTGTTGTAACACAAAGGCAAAACATATACTCAGAACCTCATAAGGACAAGGTTAACACTACAGCTGTATTGCACATGGGGCAATACTTACAGCAGACACAAGAGCCGTCTCACTTCCATTATGTCAGCCTCCTTGGTTTCACCGTAATGGATTTTCTAGCTACCAACTACCTCACTACCAACCTCGAATAATTTCAAACCAAAACTGCATAAAATGAAAGATGAATATATATAGATACAGTACATGCCAATTA